TTATTAAAACATGAATTGAAATCCTAATATTGTATTACTAAAACATGAATTATGAAATAAGAAATTTTTTTAACTACACCTCTATTAAATTATAACCTCCTAATAGTAATAAAATTAGTTAATCCCACCATTATGACTATGAAAATGTTTTACTGTACCTCTATATTGATTGATAAAAGAAATGAATAACAATGGTAATAAAGAACAAGAAAGGAAACAATGAATGTAAAGATAACCTAGCAATTCGAGAAGCTAGAGGCCTCTCTTCTAATATCTAATTAAAATATTCTCTACCCTTTACAATTGTTATCCCTCAATTTATACTTACAAACGTCACACCAATTCCATTGTTATTGTCACGTGGATAACCAACTCTGACTTACACACCATGCTATTTGTCCTTTTTTTTCCTTTTGTAAATTTGAGTTGGATGAGTTGGGGTGAAGAGGTCTTATCACAAACCTTGGGTGTGAAAAAGTCGTTTACTCTATAATAGAATTTAACATTGATCTTTTTATTTATGAATGTTAAATTTTGAGGAGTTGTAAATTTATCCTATCTAACTAAGATCACATTAATTTCCACAATCATAAATTTACCATGATTATCAATTTCACCAGAAGAAATGATTCATACCAAAATCGTCTAACCAAAGGACAAAAAATAACAGTGGAAAAAGAGCCGAGATATTTGAAAATAGAAATAATAATGTCGTCTTAACATCATATAGCGGATGTCTCAGGAATATCATATCATACCGCCCATTTTCTAAAAATCTAAATCAACATAATACTTCTTGATACTGACATGATCCTAAAGCACCAACTTTATACACTGGATGGGATCACAAGAATCTCCATCGGATGATCACCAAAAAAAGAAAACATCTGAAGGAATCCAACTATCCCATATCATCTACACTATCCACCTTTCAACTTCCATTTAACGGTACAAGAGGTAATCGTAATGGGCAACAAACATCCAAGAGAGATACAAATGGGAGATATAATCTTCTCTTCTCAAGTTGCTGCCACTGTGATGGGCGAAGCATCTGCGGCCAATGAACCAAATGAACACAGCAGCCACCCTTTCTTCTGGGCATACTCAACATAGAAACTGAATTTCTCCTTTGCATTGGAATGTCAAGGGCCAGATCATCGAGACCATCCTTGATCCTGGTAAACCCTTTCGTCATCTGATTGATAGTGATTAACCCTTCACTGAAGCATTCCTGCAACAGGTCAAGCATCCTATCATTTCTTCTCCATAGCCATAACTAGCGCCTTCTCACCACCTCATGGTTGAAAAAAGGCATTCCAAGATCACGGATACACTGGCAAGCTTCACCTACAACGCCCCCACTTCTACTCTTCTAGGAGCTTCATTACTTGTCCTTTGCATCCTCCACAGCCCAGCCAGTCCCACCTCCCCAGCACCGAAGGATCCTCTCACCAGCATGACGGGCAGCAATGAGTGATCGAGCCATATGCACAGTCTCACTCCCACTACAATTTGGTGGCAACTTGCTGCCAATCTCTTCTAAATTCAGAGGAGCCAGGACTCATCAATCACGCCCTCGCCAGAAAAAGAGCAAGCTCATTTGAAGCATCCAGAATGTCTAAGCTGTATCTTCTGCAGATTCGAGGAGCAAGACAAAGCCATTTACAATATCTTCAGTTGAAAAGATCTCAATGTGAAGAGCAGAAAGCAAAACTGATGCCATTTCTTCTCTCTATTCTTTCTGTCCATAGCAAGGGTGATCAGCTTCTTCAGGAATATTGGGTTCAATTCAGGAGCCCCAGATCTTCAAGACTCCGGATGAGTTCAGGAATGTCATCTGAAAGAAAATACTCATGAATTATGGTCACGACTTCTTCCTTGTACCGCCTTACCTTTCACTTTCTTTTGTACATTTCCATCTTCACCTGACGATTTGTGAAAGAAGCATCAAGCCATCCTTCAGAGATGGCTATGGGAATAAGCGATTGGAACAAGGTTTTTGCAGACGGAATGTCAAGAGCAAGGTCATTGAGACTCTCTTTAACCTAGCAAACCCTTTTCCCATTTGACTGGAACTAATCAGGCCTTCTCAGCAGCTTCCTTCAACAACTTAATATAAGCGGCTCAGCTGTTCGAATCTCCATGGCAAGAACCAAAGCCCTTTTCACCACTTCATGATGGAAGAATGAAACGCCCAACTCCTTATGCACCTACATGCTTCAACAGTATCACCACTCTCTACATATTCCCTCAACAGATCAGCAATCTTTTTCTTCACTTCTTAACAGTGATGTGAGTGCTACCTCCACCTCCTCCACAAGTTCAGCTGATGTGGAGCCGAGAGGTAGCTCTTTTCTGCAGTTTGGATAACCTGAAATCCCTTGGAGGATTCAGGAAGTGTCTTCTTTGCTCTTGTGAGGAAAGCCGGAGGAAGAATATCATCAAACACAGCACGAGCTACAAATAAAGCAAGGATAGCAACTGCATCTAGTATGTCGACAGCAAGGTCATCAGCAGATCAAGAAGAATGACAAAGCCATCCCTAATCTGAGCTGGGCTAATAAAAATCAGCATATAAGCTGAAAGCAGAACTGAAGCCATTTCTTTCTCCTTACATGCCTATCCATGGCCATGGAAACGAGCCGCTTTATGAAATAAGGATGATATTCATTGGAGCCAAGTTCTCTAAGGTCAGATGCAGCCCCCTCCACATCACCAGCACTGAAGTATTCCTCTATGATGGTAACAACAGCTTTTTTGTAATCATCCAAGGGGTCTGAGATGGTTGCTCCACAAGTTGATATGGTTCCATTAAAATGAAGGATAAAAGAAGAGAAATATATGATTAACAACAAATCATCAATGAAAATCTTTTATGGTGAGTAAAACAGGTAAAATCCATTCCACTAACTAGTTACCAGCACACAAACATGCTAAAAAATACTAAAAGACTAAATTCCTAGTACTAATTGAAAAAACATTAATAAAGAAATGATAAATCAGTAAGAAAAAAACAATTACCTCTCCACTGTCATAGTTAGGGTCATTCCTGTCTATATGAGAATCCACATTAGTGTCAAGAAGTTTGCCCCACGTTCCCTTGCCACAGCACCATCTGTATCCATAAGCCAAAAAGTTCAGGAGCCAATCAACATCAAATGAATAGGAAATGCTCCATTTGAGCTAGAACATTCATGGATGCTACCAATACAAGTAAATAAGGAGGCATAAAAAAAATAATAATAAAAAAGCAAACCAGCACCATTCACCATCATCCAGTAAAGTTTGGGTTAGCATAGGAAAAGAAGTCCAACCATACATATATTGACATACGTAAAGTGTGATTTCTAACTACTCTCTTGCTTGACAATGAAAGATTATATAAACCACATAGTCAATTACTGTAAACAGCACACGGTTTGTTTTCTGCAGCTTCACAGCACTTAAAAGTATTTTTCTTGTTAATGCACTACAAGACAAACTAACATCAGGCATTAGATAAAAACATTTAATCCAAAGAGAAACTGCCATGGAAAAAAGGGAAGCAAGAGAATTTATTTAAAAAAAAAAAAAAAGACAAGGAAAATTATAAACCTAGAAGTCTAGAAAGTATTATAGAGCAAAAAATAATTGAACCATATAAATTCTATTTGTTCCAACTAACAGTCAGCATGTAAAGTGTTATTACTTGAGAGAGGTACCTAGAAATTCATCAAGTTCGATAAACTAAAGATAATTGAGAAACATGCAAGATGTCCCAAGTAAATATGGGGAAAAAAATGATGTTTATAGTTGAAATCAGAATCACCAATCTAAGCCAGAAGATTATCTAAAGCCCTTCTCTCCGCACTACGACAGAGGAGACAGAATAATGAAACCACATGCAGAACCACTTACGAACACAGTTAAAACATTAAAATGACAGTTATCAATTTTTTTTCTTTTTTTTTTTTCTTTTATTCCAACCTTTATAAATGATCAACAGCCAAGTGCATGGAGCATCCTGAAACCCCACTAACACTAACACAGAAGAAAATAAAAAAATTGTTTTCATTAAGTGGAAGATGATGATTAACACTTGAATCGCATGCCAAAATCAAGACCAAGTCCATTAACTCTCCATATTATTGCTAAAAATTCATGAAAACATTCCCAAGTATCTGCTTCTACTAGATGTAGAGAATTAACTCTTTTTATTTTGTAGAGCAGCTGTACAGTCACATAAACTCTAATTAAGGTAGAAAGTACAGGGTCAAGTAAGCTTAAGCTTTCTCTCCATGGAACCCAAAAAAGAGAAAGAGAAAGAGAAAGCAGGTCCATTAGTAGGTCAAAAGACCACCAAACATTTCAGCCATAGAGTTCATGGCTTTTACAATTGATGCAACATAAATCTAAATTTAATTCCAAAATAACATGACCATATATCTTATTATTGTTGATAGTAAGATAAATCATTTCTATAGTTTGTATTTAGCTATATAATAAAATATAAACAAGCATAAAGAAAGACACCACACCAGCATCCCTGCACCACTTCAGAGGATAAAAAAGCCCCCAAATAAAATAAATAAATACCATAATCAATCATAAAGTGAGGGCGTTGCTTGTAGGCTTCTACTATGAGAAAATCTCTATAATATATTTCTAAATGTTATAACTAAACCTAACACATTTCAGTAAAGAAGATCCGACAGATACCGTTCCCATTCATGCATTCATCAAAATGACTAAATAATTAGAGTAAAAAGATAAATGGTTAAACTGGTTTAAATGCACTCACCCTTCTTCACGCGAACAAACTTTCCAGAGTGTGACCTACGCATATGCCTTACCGCAATTCCAGCAGTGGGTGCTTTACCAGCAAAAGGAACTTTCAACTGATGGTCAGACAGCAATGATGATGGAGACTTCGGAGACGATGATAAAATCTCGAAATTTTGGCTAGCAATTTTCAACATTTCCCTCTGCTCGTCAGTTAGAAATCCCTCATTTGACGCCATTTTCACTCACCAAACCTATATGAGTTAAATCTCTAAAGAATAACACAACATTAGATTGCCTCATTACAATATACATACAAGCCCTACAAATGCTACTTTAAAAAAATATATATATTAACTAATTAATAAATATTCAAAACTTAAACGGAAATAGCAGAAACGAAAAAACAATGCAGCGAATCACTGCAGTAAAAGCAGAAAGAAAACGGTGATATGATAAAATTAAAGAGAAGAGAAAGAAAACTATAACATATTTCTAGTTTAGTTTATTATAACAGTGCAGCGCCAACTGTTATTTTCTTGAAGCCAAAACAAAACAAAAACCTAGACTAAAAAACGAAAAGCAAGATAATAGATAAAAGAGAGAGTTTTGTGTACCAGTGTGTATACTCGAAGAAGACTGAATCCAGAACCCGAATACGACTCTTCTGTGCTTGGCCCGGATCTCGAGCCAAGACAGGAGGAGCAAATCGGATCTCCAAGTCGGACACTCCGACTCAAGCGTCAAATAAAAAAAGAGAGAACCAAATGAATACGAATCTTCCAATCACAAACCCTAGATCAATAAAAACAACGGTCCGATTCGGTGTAATTGCGGATCCAAATCCTAGTGTCTTAGTCTCAATCCGTATAACAAGAGTAAGAAAAAGAAGAGAAATGGATGCGGATGAAAGTGAGAGAGAGAATTAAGGGGTTTTTATATGGAGGCTACGGTTACGAGTACAGGTCATCATGGGGGTTTTAGGAATATTATCGGTTTAGGTGCCACGTGTCATCACAGCAACAGCCACTTTAATTGGTGTTACCGATCTTCTGCTTCCACCCGGCTGAACCTGTACTGTAGGGTGTAATGCATCTGATTTAGGGTTTTTCGTGAAGTGGAATTACGGAATTACCCTTGGAGAGAATGATGATTTAAATGTTTAAATATGAGTGGTAGAGTCCTTTAAGCAAAGGCTTTGGATTGGTGAATTTAGAGAATAGTTGTTTTCATATAATTATGCGAGTAACAATTTTACTTGCAACAACAAATCCTGTAATCATTCTTGTAAATAATTAAAAGAAATAAATATATATATAATTTAAACTAAGCTTTTTCACCACCTGTTATTGATAAGTTTTGATGACAATTAATAAGGTATTCTGAATAAGAATCAAAGAAAGTGGATGTGAAACGAATGCATGCATGAATATTGATGGTTGTAGCTGCAAGGGGTTGACCGACGGTTAAAGAGATTTGTTCCCTCCCCTTCTTTAAAAGTCTTGAGTTCAAACCTTAAGGTCATCTATCATAATAACAATGTGGTTTATCTGATTCTTTGCGTTTGTAAGGTGTTCAATAAACCCTAAAGATTAATTGAAGTATGTATAAACTGGCCAGACACCTCGGTTACCAAAAACAAAAAATTATTGATGGTGGTAGAGATGACAATTGTGAAACATTTAAAGAGATTTGAGGTTGTGGGGCAATTGCATTTTTTGTGGAGGTCAGATTACTAGAGAGAGAGTGTTTTCTTTCACATGTATTCAACAGTAGATCGTCATCAATTTTCATTCAGTTACAAAGAAAAGAATCAAAGAAGTTGGGGTTTAGTTAATGCATGTGAGTCCAAATTTGGTAGGGAAGGGTTGGGTATCATAAAACATAATTAAATCTTGTAATGAACAATTTGATGGTGTCACCAACATGGAGATGATAAGAAGAATTACTCAAGGGTCAAGCTCCACACTCCACCCGTCAAAAGAACAAATTATTAAACGTAAAAAACAAAAAAAGAGAGGTTGTGAAGATAGTAGATTAGGTCACACATGAGACAAGATGGAAAAATTTATCATAAAAACAGACATGTATAAACTGATACCACTGCATTAAAAAGTTTAAAGGATCTTTCGCAAAGAGGAGAAGCATGTGTGTCTGACTGTGACTTGGTGGGTTTGTGTTCCCCATGGCCGAATGTATATGAGAACGTTTTAGTGTAATTATTATAATAAACTTTGATCTAAATTGATGCTACCGCAATGCCTTTGGCCTCTGCAAGATGCATGCATCTCTTGATAATTCCTTGCAAAGGTTATTATACCGCCCTCCCCTTATTGCCCACTCTCTGAATATGGGGGGATTCAGGACTTCCATTTTTTTTTCCGTATTATACTAAAATCTGCCCTTAAAATCAAACATCAGAATTTGGTGCTTGTTTGTGGAAAGGCCAGATATCCCATGAAAGGTTCATGAATTACCCTAATCAATCAATTTACTACAACTTAAAGTCAACTAAAACTTTCTTAAAAGGTAAGCCAAGTCATATATTTCATATATGGGGATTAAGTGAACCAAAAGAATTTCTATATACATCAAAGCATAAATAGAACAATTACCTAAAGATTGCCAGGTTAGTGGTACAAATTCACAGCAGTCTATCTTCTGGTTCGGTAATGGATAGCAAAATTTTTCTGAAGCCTTTTGATGTTGATATGTTTCCTTCAATGGTTGAGAACTTTGAGATTATATCTTGGTAGAGAAGAATCATTCCAAAGGAAAAATTCAAACCATCCTAAGGACAAGCGTTACATAGCAAAATGATTTCTTTTAGAGAGAGCCAACTAGATCCACTGAGGTTTCTTATAATGATCTTCTCAAAGAATAGCATATAATTACTGTCCATCACGGGGTAGATCTTGAGTTCTTGGCTGCCTTTTCTTGTACTTCCAGAATTCGTCTTTCTTTCCCTTCCTCTTAGCTTTTACCATGCCCATTTTGCTATTAATTATACCAAGTATAGCACTCTTGTCCTTTCTGTTCTTTGTTGCAGCTTTCACATCCAAAATTGACCTTAGCTTTTCATACGACTTCACATCTGGGACCTGTCCGCTTTTTACCATCTTCTTGTGATAAAAAAAAGCCCTCTTAAAATCACGAACACGGACAAAGGCATAGATCATGGTGGAATAAGTAATTGAATCAGCTTTCAGATTGAGAGCTGCCATTTCTTTCAATAGCTGTGGCAACTTTGAGGTTTGCCCTCCTCGTCCATATGCATTAATCAGCATATTATATGTCATTAACGTGGGCGGCAAGCCATTCCTCCCAAATTCATAGACCACATCCCTTGCTTCAATGTACTGACCCTGTTTAGCAAATCCATCAAGCAGAATGTTAAATGTCACTCGAGTGCCTTCAATTCTTTCACTGATCATCAATTTCCATATTTTCATCAATGTTTCAGTGTCACCAGCACGCCTAAATGCATCCAGCAGTGCAGTGTAGGTTTCTATGGAAGGTTTAATACCTTCCTTTTTCATGTTTTCAAATGTGATATAAGCTTTCTCATGCCAGCCATTGACAGAATAAGCATGGATCAGTGCTGTATAAGAATGCGAAGTTGGCTTTATGCCAACTTTTTTCATCCTCAAGAAAGCATCAGCAGCCATATCACTCATCTTCCTCTGCCTACCATACGCACTGATAAGACATGTATATGATTTGGCATTTGGCTCCAATCCACTGTCCTGCATTTCTAACAGTAGCTTCTCAACAATCTCAGGCTGCATTCTTCTACTGTATGCATCCATAAGGATGTTAAAGGTGACAGAGGTAGGCATAACGCCTTTTGTTTTCATCTCATGGAAAAGACCTTCAGCTTCTTCAATTTGGTTGGATTTACAATAAGCATCCATAATAGTGTTATATACAATGGCATTTGAATAGATTCCTTTCTTCTCCATTTCCATATGGATAATAAGGGCTTCATTCTTGAGCCCCTCATCACAGAATGATTTTATCAGAGCACCCAGAACTTCTTCACTCCATTTGACTCCTTTTCTGTTCATCTTCTCAAAGAATTCCCATGCTTCTTTTGCGCTACGACCATTTTTTCTCATCACTGTTATCATTATGGAACACGTTACATGATCTGGACAGATATTATTTGTTTCCATTGTTTGGTACACCTCGCAAGCATCATCATACCTGATATAAGTTGACAGAAATCAGCAATGAGTTCTACCAAGCGTTTGAAAACAATTGTTAATATCATTACAAAACTTGGATTTTTTTTCTCTTCTATTTTTTTTTTTCAAACCATCCAAAAATCACTCCATTTACATTGATGAAAAGCATAATAATCAGGAGAAGTTGCAAGATACACTACTTAAGAATCAAGCTTCAGAAAAGCAAAGCAGTACACTTATCCCTATCTCCTGTGCTGAATAGAATATATGGACAGCTCTAAGCTCCTTCAAAGTAGTAGAGAACCACTATCAACAAAAAATCCCGACACTAGTTTTTCATGACATAAAAGAATGTAGGTGCTCCGAACTAATTTTGTGTATATTTGTCCATTAAATACAATTGAGCCAAAGGCCAGAAATTAAAGCAACAACATGCACAGTCTGAAAATCGCATAATTCAGTCTTGGGTGTAAATGAACTCATGCATAAGAAACTTATGATTATACTTCGATTAACTGATTGAAATTGTTTGGATATGTGTTCCACTACTCAAAGTTTGGATTTAGTTCTTCTCAAGTTTCATCAAATTCTTAATTCATATACACATGTTCAAAATCAACAAACCAGTATAACAAAAAAATAATAATAAACACACCACGAAGGTACCAAGAATCTCATACCTTCCACAAGAACAAAGTCCTGATATAGCAGCATTATAAACATGAACGTCTCTAAATTCCTTGCTTTGAGGCAAATTCTTAAACAAAATCATCAAGTGGTCTCCCCTTCTAGCCCTCCCCAATATTGGAAACAAAACAGAACAAGCGCGTGGCGACTCAAGCGAAGGTTCCTGCAATCTCATCCACTCATAAAAATACAAGCAACTCATCAAAAGACCTTCCTCTGCCATCAACCCCAACATTTGAACACACTCTCTTTTACTAACTCTTCCCTCATAACCCCCTAAGACTTCACCTAACGTGGAATTCTCCGGTAAATTCCTTGCAATTTGTAAAATTTCACCGACAGGACCATCGGGTGAAGACTCTGTATGTTGTTTTTCTTCTTTTGGAACGGAAAGGTCCTCGAAATCAGAATCAATAGGAGTTTCGGGTTGATTAATGGAATTGATATGGGGAGAGAGATGCCAAGAAGAGCGGCGGTTCTTTTGGAGAGACAGTTTGCCAAGGCGAGGTGGGTCTTGATTTGGGGTTTGAGTTTTGAAGAAATTGAGAATTGGATCGATGATGTCTTCTTCTTCTTCTTCTTCTTCATGTTCATGTTCATCTTCGAGTGGGTTTGACTTGGGGTTTGGTTGTTGTTCCTGTTCTTGGAGAAAAGGCAGGAAAATTTGAGGTGAAGAATGAGGAGTGGAAATGGGTGGGGTTGCACAGAGAGGTAAACAAGTTTTAAAGGGTTTGGAGTTTGAGAGGAGGAGGAAGAAGTGAGGTTTTGACAAGTGATGAGTGCAGTAATGGCGGTCAATTAAAGGTAATAAAGATGCCAAGCTTTGGTTTGACAAAGCAGACATGATTTTTTTTGGATAGAGGAAAGCAGAGTCCGAGACTCCGAGTGAAGACCACAACTCAAATATCAAATCAATTTTACGTCTCTCATATTTCTCCAACGGAAGTAATACTTATGCATTTATTCTTTCAGAAGTTTTCATTGTCTATTTTATTGCAATATCTACATTCTTAAAAAATGATATATTTTTTTTAAATACCATTTTTTAAAATGATATGGACTATAATTTAATTTTTTTTTAAATGATATAATAATAATACATAGCAAGGAGTTAAAGTCAACAAAATAAAAGAAATCAACGCTAAGCGGTCTTATAGCAAAAGAACAAATGAGTCTAATATGCCACTACTAAGCGGTCTGATAGCAAACGAACAAAGGAGTCCAATATAAGCTTTTGGCCGCTGACTTTAGAGTCTCAAAGGATTAATTGAGGTACGTATGAACTGGTTTACTTATATGTAATATTAGTTTTCATATAAGCTTTCATATACCCTATAAGTAATGCTAGAAGTACAAAGACTTTTACAAAGAGTATTTGTATAAAGTGATGTGGCAGCTGCCATACCACTAGTTTCACATCAATCTTCTCTTTCTTTTAACAAACTAGTGGTGTGGTAGCTGCCACATCATTTTGTACAAGAGTCTTTGTATATCTAGCATTTTTTTATACCCTATAGGACTAGTTGAGATACTGTTTAATTTGATTGTTTGCTAAGCCCCCATGCCAATGCTATACACCATTTTCTCAAAAGTTGATGTCGGTAACATATGCATTCCCCACTTACTTCAAGAAGTGCTCAAAATTTTTGAATGATGTTGCACCAAGGTTTGCTTTGCAAGAGCTCCATGATGGTGCTGCCCCATTTAAGTAAAATTATTTCTTGTTCGCAAACATGCTTTGTGAGGATAAAAAAGGTACCTAGTATTAGTACGTTGACTGCAAATGCTATGTTTAGTCTCGTACACTGTGCTAAGCATAATGATACAATAATTTTGTTAAGATATGATACTCCAAGACCAAATATATTTACCCCATTGTCTTTAGGACGAAATGGATCCTACTTAGGATCAGGAGACTGACCCATCATTAGGGTACTCAAGGGATGAGCTTTATTCATATTAAAATATTTTAGGATCTTTTTCAATATAAGCTTAGTGATAGATCAATACTTATTTGCACTATGCTCGATTTGTAGGCTGAGATAGTAGTTTGCTTTCCCTAAATCCTTTATTTCAAATTTTCCTTTTAAATACTCAACAGCTTTTATGAACTCTTCAAAAGTCCTAATTAATTAAGTGCATATCATCGACATATATTACCACAGTTGGCAAAACTAAATAATAATTTCTTTATAAGTATGTGGGATAGTTAACGTATCTTTCTTTCATCAAATATTCTCTTAATCATATTCGTTTAGATTATTTCTACCCACCTAGCAATATTTGATATACATATTTCTTCGATTTGCTTCAAACATTTTGAATCCTTCAACAATTTTTATATAAAAATCAATATTTATGTGTCGTATAAGTATATAGTGATAATATTCATGAAACGCATATTAAGTGCTTGTGAGATTTGATAAGGTAACTATAAATCTAAATGCAATTTCATATATCACCGGTGAATACGTTTCATAAAACTCGATTCTAGGCCGCTATAGGAAACCTTGAGTGTGACTCTAGCCTTATTTCTAGCCATTTTAAATTTCTTATTTTATTTTCTTGTGAAAATCCTTTGGTGTTTCACAGATTTGATGTCTTCAAGTCTTTGGATTGCAGATCCAAATACTTTATAATTAGCTAGAGAAGTCAATTCATGTCGAATTGATTTTTTTCTACCAATCATGTCACTGTCTATACTGATTGACAGTGTGTGACTCAAAACCATCACTTATAATTTCGATAGCTACAACAAATAAGAATTTGTCATATGATCATACTTTTACAGTTCCACTTATTTCCACATTTCTCTCTTGTATGCAAAATTTATAGAAGTTTCAATATTTCATTATTTTGTATGTCAATTCTAGCACATGTGCCACTTTTGGGGCAACAATTCTATGCGTCATTTCTTAGGCATTTGCCACTTCAAATGTCACGGGCTTGGAGTTTCACACCCAAAAAGCTAACCTATTAGGTGGAGGAACTCCTTCAATTTATAAGCCAAAGACCTCTCTAATATGTTTTCGATGTGGGATTGGTTATACTCTCCTCCACCCAATCCTATGACGCCCTCGTTACAGGTGGGGCTCCCTTACCTACCCGTCCACCTCACTCTCGTGTGAAGCCATAATCACATGTGAACGCTTCTGCGTGGGTGCTTGGCAGGACATCGAAAGACGGACCAGGTCTACTTTGATACCACTTGTCATGGGCTATGAGTTTTATACCCAAAAGACTAACCTATTAGGTGGAGGCACTCCCCCCATTTACAAGTATAAGACCTCCCTAATATGTTTTTGATGTGGAATTGGTTACACAAGGTATCATAATCGTATGCTACTTCTAGAGCATGTGCCACTTCCGATGGCTTTTGTCTCTTTTGGGAGGTATGGCTTTTCTAAGGCATGACTCTTATGGGGTTTTATCTCTTCAGGGATCATTATTTCTTTTGTAGTTAAGTTAGATAATGTGATTATATTTATAGTTTGAGCACTATTGTTAATAACAACAGTGTTAAATTTATTCTTTATTTTTCTCTTACAAGAAATAGCATCTTTGGATCTAGTGTGCCTTCCACACTTCTGGCATGCAACAGATAATTTATTTGTGGCCACTTTAACACAATATTTAGTTGGAATAATAATCCACGCTGATGTATTTACCTCTGATTTTGTTATGCATTTATAAATACATTTCACATTATATTAACAATATTTTGAAGTTGTATTATCATTCACACTTATTTCACATAAAGTTGTGTGAGTATCGAGTGAGACATATTATGTCACTTTCCATAAAAGTTCATGTCTTATTTAAGGAGGTTTTACCTTTTTTCCTAAACGTGAGAATATTGTCTCGTCAAAATCTATAAAATATGCTGTGAGAATATTGTCTCGTCAAAATCTATAAAATATGCTGTAAAAATATCGATCACTCGTTAGGGGCTCGATAAATCTAATTGTGGATGGTGTGTTAAAACAAATACAAATTCTTGTTTTCTCAATTGATAATAAGAACAATAGAATATTCATCTACCTCTTTGAAGGTAATATATCCAATATAACTATCACTAATTATAAATATGACCTCTTCAGAAGCCTTGATTTTCGTTTGCAATATCTCTTTATCTTTTCCTCTTCTAGGAATTTTATGTTTCACCAATCCATATAACATGCTCCCAACATTAATCAATTCCATGTGTCCATCATATTGTTCTTCAAGGACTTTAAAATCATGTAAACACTCCACTTATGATGGATGCTAAAATTATATGACCATTAATTTGTCAACATTCACTTTTGGGAACGGTGACATAATCAATTGCCAATGATTTATAATTTTTGCAAATTCAATAGAATAAAGATAAGTTGACAAACATATCTCACAAACTTTCTTGACAAACCCCATGTGGCACCTGAGTTGGTGGCTCTCATAAGAACTATCGCAGAATGATTTCGAGTAGAACTAAGAAATGGTTGTTCCTTAGAGGGAACGGCTATTATGAATGGAGGAATAGTCATTCCTTAGATAAGGAATGCTCGTTCCTTGGTTGGAATGACCTTGCCTTGGATGAGGAACAACCATTCCAACTCCAATGAACGGCCATTGCCATTCCATAGGGTCATTCCACCTGGAGGAACCGCCATAATATGATGGAATGGCCATTCTTCCTACAGAACAACCATTCCTTCCTCATGGAATTGTTGTTTCTTATACGATGAATGGTTGTTCATCCCTTAGGGAATGGTCGTTCCTTACATGATGAACGGTTGTTCATCCCTAAGGAACAACCGCTCATGTCTAGTCAAAATCGTGAGTTAACGTGGTAATGGCAACTCAGTGCCAAGTTAGGTTTATGAAAGAAAGTTTGTGAGATTCATTTGTCAATGTAGTATTACCTAATTAATTAATTATTCAATAATCAAGAGACAATGCAGCATCTCCAAATATTTGTAAATTGGTGCAGTCTATATTGCTACTTCAAGAGCAAGTTCAAAACGTACCCATTTAATTATCATTATAAACCATGCAATTTCAGCTGAGAAGTAATAGTAGTTATTTCAGTCTTCTATAGATTGACAAGCTCTATATTATTGAAAACAATAATGTTAGACGCAAGGTCATCTCAAAAACATTTGTGACCTTAGGCAAGAGTTACTTTGGGGGCCTTCTAATAATATAAGCATGTATTAAAAAAATTATTTAAAATTTATTTTTCTTGCCTTTTGAGATGCAAAATCACTAATTAAATTTTTGTATTCAAGTTTGAAAACTAAATCTTTTTTAATTGATAATATATCCAAATTACCTAATATTTCTTGTGACATTTTTGAACGCAAATAAGATTTTATTAACTTTAATTTTGAAAAACTTCTTTCTGCTAAAGCTACAGCAACAAGAATATTTATAATATTCTATAAGTTATCCATGTATTTGGAAAGAAATTCACATTTTTTTATAAAATCTAGTATCTCAAGTGGTGTTTTAATTTCCCTGTTTATAATTTCTTTTAAAACTTTTAATTCTAAATATAAATCTAAGCCATCAATATCAGAGCACATGTCATGTTTTAAAATGTTTTCAAGATTTAAACAATTTTTCTTCAAATTATCATCATCAAGTCATTTTAACTTTTCTATATTATAAAGGAAACCAAAATTATTACTATACATTTCAAATTTTTCAAACCAACTTTGAAGTAAGGAAATGACATAATCAACTAAATTTATGAAATAATTTATTCTAAAAGATTTTTCAGAAGACAATTCATCTCTTCGTTTTCATTCTCATCAAATTGTTTTTATCTCTTTATTGTATGTTTTTCTCGAAATTTTGATTCTATATTCATTTGTTCTGCAATCTCTTTAACAGAAATCATAGAAAATGTAAACCCATTTTCTCTAAATTTTTCAAAAAATGAAACAAGACCTTT